TATGTATATATATGTATACATACATGCATGTTCATTATTCCAGATAATGATTTCATACATGTATATTTGAATGTTGATTGATTCTGATTACCCATTACCATTCCAGGCAAGTTATGAACAGGTTCCAAGGGCTGCCATTCATGCGTGGTGGCCAGGCAGGCGGCCAAGGACCAGTTGCTTTGCAGAGTCAGCCTGTGCAACAAGACCCTAACTTTGGCTCCCAGCACACATATGTCCCGCCTGGTCAACCAGTTCCTCAGGCGCAGTACCCTCCTCCACAACAGCCATACCCAACAGGTTGGTAGTTATTGAATTAATTATTCAGGATTTGTTATTTTTTTACAATATCATGCTAATGGGAAGCAAATCAAATGCACTGCTTTCTTCATATAAAGATGTTGGGAACCATGTATGTTTTTTTTTGTTTTTTTTAATCTTCTTTTGTTGCATATTCCCTAAGGGAAAAGGTTATTTCACTTACCTGCTTAATGCTTCCACCTCATACAGTGGCTCCCAAGATTTCAAGCAACAATCTATGTGCACTTTGTCACATTTCTGCCACTGTCACATTTCTCCATATGTGAACATTGGCTACTTGATCATGTTCTTAATAATGTTTCAGAGAATGCATGTCTGAAGGTGTTCTCAGATTAGTTGTGGGAAAATAGCTTAATTAAACATTTTGCTAATTTAAACTTTCATTTATAACATATGATACAATATATTCACATTATTGCACTACAGTCCTTGATTGTAGGAGATTAACATCAGCTTATCTATGATTATGTTATAGATGAAACTAACTGTCCTATATGTCAAATCTGGTTTGTTTGATTTTATTGGTTTTACAAATAATTTTTTTCTTCTGGAAATTGCTTTACTTTTGGAACTTGCATTGCAATTGCCATTACTATTATATACAGTTTTGTTTATATCTAAAACAAACAAAGCAAAAAAGCTACATTGCTAGTGTTTTATTAGCAGTACTAACAAGTGTGTCAGGTATAATTGTTGTTCCAAACATATGTATAGTACAAGGTAAATAAGTACAATACTCAAATTCATGAATTATAAAATATTCTAGTTTTTGACAGTTGTTGCAAATTGAAAATAGTTGCAAACTGAAATCATCTCTAAATCTGTAAAATTAATAAAAACATTACTATAATAATGGACATTGTGTGCACAGTTTGTAGGACGTTGTTGGTGCTTTTTATTCTGATAGGGAACTAGTCCAGCTCCATCTTGTGATGGAGGGTTGTTAGCCTTTGCCAAAGCACCTGAGATGTTTAGATCACATGATTGTGCATATGTATATGTGCCTAACTGCAGCTATCATGAGGTTTGGTTTTTAAACCTTTGATTGATAATCTTCACCAAACCTACATTTGAAAAAAAGCAGTTAGAATTCACTGATCTTTTGATTGCATGGACGGTTTACCTTGTACTACACATATGCACATAACACTTGAATTTTACCATCTGCCATATCTCACACATGATTTACTGGCAAAACATTGGTTCATTGCTGATCTTTACAACATAACTGAAGTAAGATATAAAATTATTTTGATGTTTTTAACCTTTTGTTTCATAAAGTGCAGTGCAAGTTTTTCAGAATGAGATATATGAATAAAAAGGATTCTTGATCATGTTGATGTTTGCATAATTTTTATTTCTTAAATTATTAAGGTTATCTTTTTATGCTTGCTATAGATATTTAATTTGTAGCATTCACCAATATGACACAGAATCTTTTTTTCTCAAAAATACTCAATTCATTTGCAATAACTGCTTATCATTACTGCTGCACCTTTCTTCCTGGGGTTCATATTGGCTAGGTGGTGTATATCCTGCAGCTCCATATGCACAACAGCCAGGTTTTGCCCCTTACCCACCACAAGGTATGTGAATTTAGCAAAGAACCAGGGAATGCTTTTAATGAATATATCGATACATTTAAGTTGAGACATTTAAGTGAAAATGTCTTCCTTATTTGCTTTAAAATAAGGGTTAATGGTAAAAAAACACATGCATGCATACATGCACCTATGCTATATATGTGTGTGTGTGTGCATGTGTGGGTGAAAGTGAGAGTAATAGAAAAATACTATAATCTGACTATTGACCAAGAAAATTAAGCTTTGGCACATAAACAGTAACTAAACTCTTCCTAGAAAAGCGTTTTACAGTGCATAAGTGTTGATTTCAGTATGAAATATTGCACAGCACATAAATTAATTTAGTTTTCTTAAGGTTAATATATATATTCTTCTGCATGATTGTTGATTCTTTTGGTTCAGGGACACACAACTAACCCCCAATAATTGACTAACAGGTGATGGGCAGCCCCCTATGCAGCCTTACCCACCACAACCTATTCCACCATATCCTCCACAGGGAGCACCATATCTGGCTTCTGCTCCCCCAGAAGGTAGCCTTAGAAAACCATATTTAAATACTTCTCTATAGTTTTCTTTATTTTCTGCTTTTGAAACTGGTGTTGATCATAACAATTATGTTTATTTCATATTAAATTTTACGGTAAGTTCTAATGAAACACAAGATATTTCTTTAATATTTTTATTTCTTTACTCATTAGATTTTTTCTTTTGCATTCCACAGCTTAAAAGTATTTTATATATTACTTAACCTGATAACTGTTCAAGTAGCATTTTGGGCTTATCCTCTTGTGTTCAGTTTAACAGGGAATGGCACAGGGTCTGTTGGTTCTAGTACTTGGGGTAGTAACTTTGCCTTGTCATTTTGTTTTTACATACTTGGATCATCCACTGTGTGGTTCAATTGCCTATGGAAATTATATGTAGTGTGCCTGACTAGCTCTACCTTCATACGGTTAGCATGATGTCTATCATATGACGTATGTTGTAGTTATCAGGTTAAGGATGAATGCACTGTATTTTACTTTCCTATAGCATTTCTGTATCATACTATTTCTTATTTCCTAGGGTTATTAACTTGAAATTTGATATAAAGTGATATTTTTCTTAGCAATCTCCAGGTCATTTTACGGTATTAGTACAATGTAATTTCAGTGCCGCAGCCTTCAAGTAGATTTTTGTGTAGGAATCTGAAAGTTGATGAATCACACTCATAGATTCTGCATCACAGTCACTCTAAACTAACTAATTGTTTATCTATAGTTACCCAACTTGCCTGTTTATATCAAATTCTCTTGTACATAAGTTTACTATAATCTAATTACTTCAGAATCTGAGGGAATATGATGAAATTTGAGCTGGGTACTTTTTGAGTTTGTCAAACTGATTCATAATTTTCTCAATGTCTAAGTTTAAGCAAATGAGATTTTAATTAGCCTGGATCTATAAGTGATATACATAAGAAAATTTCTAGATTTACAAAGTACTATTGTGTTGTTTAGTATCAAGAAATTTATATGTTCTACATAAAAATACTAGAGAAATAAAAAATTTGGTACTGGAATTTTTTGCATATTATCACTTCTATAAACGTAAATATTAATGAAACAGATTTATTGGTATTTAGTGCTTGATTAACCCATTCACGTTGGGAGTTCCTAGTGCCATACTGGGGTGTGAGTGAATTCAGCTGTTTAAGGTAAAAGCCATAAGTGCTTCAACAATAAAATGACCCTGCTCTCTGTGCTTTTGGCTGTGACATAATTGATTCATTAGATAATGAGGCCAAAAAGAGGCATTAACCCTGCTTTTGAGTGCCTAGTTATTGCAGCCAGGGCCACACAAGCACTCTAATTTTTAATGTGTACAACTTGAAGTAGGCTTAACCACACTCGATGTAACAATGTCGTCCCGGTATGAGAGATTGTCTGCCATGATGTGATAGAATGCCATCCCATTGTAAATGGGTTAACATAATTTTCTCTCTCATATTTTTCATAATAGTTAAAGAACTAGAGAAAAGAGAAATTTGATAGCATAGTGTCCATAAGTACTGTAAGTTTCAGCTAAACAAATGTGTTGCCAAGTAGTGCTTGATTGACATCATTTTCTCTCCCTCTCTCTCTGAATATTGTTAAAATGTATCATTGAGTGATAGAAGTTTTCATTGCTCAGGTTACCCGGTTGATGGCCAGAAGCCCCCACCCTACACGCAGGAATACCAGCCTAATGCTCCGCCGTCCTAGTTGCAATGTGCAGCTCCTTCCTAGCTCTTTCATAGGTTGACATAGCTTGAGAAATGGTATATTGGTATACTCTTTGAGAAAAATTGCTGTAATTGCTAGAGACCTTGATAAATTGATTTCACAATACTTAAAGCAGTAAACAGTTTTGCTTGTTTGGAGAGGAATAGCATTTGATATGTGATATTCATTGGATATCATGTGGCAGCATAATCTGTATTTATTCTTTAACTGTTTACAGATTACATTAGTAGATACTAGGTACATAGGATACAGATGTATTATCTGTAACCATTTTCCAGTAGCAAAATCATGTTTTTTTATTGTGAAGGTATTTATCTACCTCTTGAAACTGCTCCAAGCTCTCTAAACTCACATAAAAGCTAAATTCACTAAGCAGTATTTAGATAATCAGTGTACACAAAGAATCACACACTAAGAAAAAATAAGGTACTGTAGCCTTTAAAGGTTAAAAGGTAGATATTTTTTTTTTACAAACAAATTTCTCAATTTATTATTCACTACTAATGCAGTGTATGTAGAAACATAAATCACTAAGCAAATTAACTTTACATATTCCTGTTGTAAAATTTTGCAATTTATTTTTGAAACATTTAGAGGAAATGCATATTAGAAACAGATGTGCTCATCTGTTCACCCAAGCATCAGTCAAGTTCTCCCATTTGTAACTGCCCTCACATCCTTGCTATTATAGCAATTTAATTTGTTACAAGTTTAAAAGTGCAAGTGTAATTTTGCTTGTTTTTGTTGCTTGGGAATTGGGATTTTTGGTTGTTAGTATATAACCCTTGAAGGATGAAATATAATAATTGTCTTTCTCAGGTATGTGTGCACACAACAAAACACAAAGTTGTTCCATAAAAAGTTCACACTAACCCATTCAGACCTAATGATCTCTAATCATTTCACAGCAAAAACTTCAATCATGTTGGATGAAGTTTAATCACGGTTTGAACCTGCTGAAATGATGCCTAGGTGCCTAGCTGTGAACTGGTCAATGTTCCACACACAGACTGGCTCATGCTAATGCACCTTAGCATCACCACACTTTAGTAAAAATTTTACCTATTGTGTTTGAGTTGAAGCACAAGCATGCACATAGACACACACACGCACACATGCACACGCGCACATGCACACGCACACGCACACGCGCACTAACACATACACAAACAAACTAACAAATCCCATCTTGCATGCATGCATATGCAGCCCTAAGGTTTGCCTTCCTATAAGGGTTTAGATGAAATTAAGAAAATAAATAACTACTTAGATGAATGAAGAAAATAGAAAAGTTATTTTTTGTAGTGTGATTTTGTTACTATACATTGTTATGATGATACATTTATAGATGTTTATCCTGTGTCATTTTCTTCAAGATATTAAAGATTTAATATTTTTCACCAGTAATGTAACTCTATGCTAGTGTCACACAATAATTGAAATGTCAAATTACTTTATAAAAGAATTTCATTATTACACTAATCCTACTTTCCTTATGATAATGTGGTAGACTGCTTGTGTTGCAGTGCAGAATATTTCAAAGTAAAGTTGTTTATATTGACTTCATAATAGTAATATAGTTGACACTTAGCCCGATTCTCACATCTCCCTTTTCCCACGATACCTCTTCATTGCTCTTTTCACACACCTAAGTATATTTTCTGCATGAGGAATATTCATTATAAGAAGAAACATGTCAGAGATGACTGCAAACTGAGGGTCTTAGTAGGCCAACAGTATATGAAAAACTTACTAGCATGACTCTGAAGCTAGGGTAACCCCCCCCCCCCCACACACACACACAAAAGCTCTATGCAACAATGTAATAGAAGGTTATAGCTAAGAGTTAACAATGCAAGACAGAACTCTACCAAGTTTGTAATGAAATTAAGAGTTACTGTATGGATGGCAAAGAATGTACATTTATGACCCACTTTTCCACAGCAAATTCACATACAGGCAGTCTAATGTGCAAGCATGAAGCAGTTTTCAAATATTTTTTTTACATATGGAGCTTAAACTACAAAGTTGCAAAGTTAGCAAGTGTACTGTATTACTCTTTCAATGTAATAAATACAAATGAGGCCATTTCTTATACTTCTGACAAGTACTCATAGGTTAAGGTTTGGTTATGAAAATCAATTAACAAATATTTTTAAAAATTATTGTCGTCCATATTTTATAAACATCTATTTGTTTGATATAGATTTCAATAGTTAACAACTGATAGTATGATATCCTTTAGGATTCATATGATACTGATATGAACTTAATTTTTGTATGCTTGATCAGGTTGTTAGCAGAAGGAGGTGCTTTTAGCTTGTTATAATATGTACATTATTTTACAATAAGAAGCTTCTTTTTTGTGTGAATGCATAGTGACACTAGATATTAAAAAGTAAGATGTATACCAAGGTTATCGGCTTTACAATCAACATGATACTTACAGTAATTAATCCTGTAATATTGTAAACAAAAACAAAAATTTCTTGTTGTATTACACTTATTTATAAACCCTGTCATATTGGTATGGCCATTCAGTTAATGTATTTGTTATCATTACAGAATCAAGAATGCATGATGGTATTATTGACTTTTTTCTTTTTCTTTTAAGGTATCTAATAACTTGTCACTTGTGTTCTTCCATGGCAAGTTCTTTTGTGCACCATTTCAGTCTGTCCTTCTGCCAAATAAAGAAAATGTTCTACAGGTTCCCTTTTATTTATCAACACCTTTATAAATTCATTATTTTTTTTAAGTTCCATTCCAGTGCCTTTAAATGTTATATTTTTACCGAGTATGAAAAAACAGAAAATTTAAAATTATTTATATGTTTAAATATATTTGTTCAGGTTTATGTGAACTCATGCAAATAAATTTATACATAAAAATGTGTACATGTGTCCCCTATCCCTCTACACACAAATAATTTTGTATGATCCTATATACAAATATTAATTATAGGTTAAAAAGAATGATGGGTAAATTTTTAGGGTTTATATTATAAGTACATAAATAGTTGGTATTTATTATGGACAATGTTATAAAATTCTGAAATAAAATCTAATATCTGTTTCTATATATATATCTTACCAACTTTTCATCCAACAGGTCTGTAAGAACAAGCAACCATAAGCCAAGTCAGGAACATATTTTCAGGATAGTTAACTGTTATAGCACGCACAGCATAACAGACTTTATCACCACGACACCCAACTATCTCGCGGCCAATGCTGGAGCTGAAAAATAAGAATGTTTACCTATTACAGGCCCTACTGGAAACATAAAGTTTGAAAGAATATTTATTTAATCATACTTTTACACTAAATTGT